TGGGGTAACGCTAACCAAACAAGTGAAAGACCTGTATCGTAAGAACTTTGAATCTTTAAAGAAAGAAATTAAAGAAGCCCTCAGAAAATGGAAAGATCTCCCATGCTCTTGGATAGGTAGGATCAATGTAGTAAAAATGGCAATCCTGCCAAAAGCAATCTATAGATTCAATGCAATCCCCATTAAAATCCCAGCACAATTCTTCACAGACCTTGAAAGAACAATAATCAATTTTGTATGGAAAAACAAAAGACCCAGGATAGCCAAAACAAACCTGTTCAACAAGGCAACGTCCGGAGGCATCACCATCCCTGACCTCAAGCTCTATTATAGAGCTATAGTCCTGAAAACAGCTTGGTATTGGCACAAAAATAGACAGGTAGACCAATGGAATCGAATTGAAAATCCGGGTATTAACCCACACACGTACGAACATCTGATCTTTGACAAAGAAGCTAAAAATATACAATGGAATAAAGAAAGCATCTTCAACAAATGGTGCTGGCATAATTGGAGACTGGCATGTAGAAGAATGTGGATCGATCCATGTTTATCGCCATGCACAAAACTTAAGTCCAAATGGATCAAAGACCTCAACATAAATCCAGCCACCCTGAACCTCTCAGAAGAGAAAGTGGGTGGTACCCTTGAACGAATTGGTACAGGAGACAGCTTCCTGAACATAACACCAGTAGCACAGACAGTGAGATCAACAATTAATAAATGGGACCTACTGAAACTGAGAAGCTTCTGTAAGGCAAAGGACACAGTCAGCAAGACAAAAAGGCAGCCCACAGAATGGGAAAAAATATTCACTAATCCCACATCTGACAGAGGGTTGATCTCCAAAATTTACAAAGAACTCAAGAAGCAAGTCTCCAAAACACCAAAGGACCCTATTAAAAAGTGGGCTGCAGAACTAAATAGAGAGTTTTCAATAGAGGAGTCTAAAATGGCTGAGAGGCACTTGCGAAAGTGCTCAACATCCTTAGCCATCCGGGAAATGCAAATCAAAACAATTCTGAGATACCATCTCACTCCTGTCAGAATGGCTAAAATCAAAAACACCAATGACAATTTATGCTGGAGAGGATGTGGTGAAAGGGGGACACTCCTCCATTGCTGGTGGGAGTGCCAACTGGTTCAACCACTTTGGAAATCAGTATGGAGATTCCTCAGAAAAATGGGAATAAACCTACCACAAGACCCAGCAACTCCACTCTTAGGCATATATCCAAAAGATGCCCATTCATACAACAAAGATGTCTGTTCCACTATGTTCATAGCAGCATTATTTGTAATAGCCAGAACTTGGAAGCAACCTAGATGTCCCTCACCCGAAGAGTGGATAGAGAAAATGTGGTACCTCTACACAATGGAGTACTATTCAGCAGAAAAAAATAATGGAATCATGAGATTCGCAGGCAAATGGATGACACTAGAAGAAACCATCCTGAGTGAGGTAACCCAGTCACAAAAAGAGAAACATGGCATGTACTCTCTCATATATGGATTTTAGACATAGATCTGGGGAGTGCCAGCCTACAATCCTATGGCCAGAGAGCCTGGGAAACAGAAACTTCATTTAGTGGCTGATCGAAGAAGAGGCAGATTCCCTTGGTTAAGTACTGAGCTGAACTCAAGAAAGCCAGTAGCAGAGAGGGAGGACTGATGATCAAAGGGATTAAGACTGGGCTGGTTTAACCCCCAGAAACAGCTGACCAGACAAAGGTTAACTCTTGAATCCCAGACATCAGCCTGGGAATCCAACATGGGACTGATCAAGACCCCCTGAATCTGGGTGTCAGTGAGGAGGCCTAGGGAATCTATTGAGCCTTGGGCAGCAGATCAGCACCCATCCCAAGTATACACACGGACTTTGGACTCCCATAGAACAATGTGAGGTGCACTCTCACCCTGAACTCTTGGGGAAGGGTCTAGGCCCTGCCCTATATGAAATGACAGACTATGCACACCCCCATGGAGGGCCTCACCCTCCCTGGGGAAATGAGGGGATAACGGGGGGGGGGGAGTTGGGGGGAGGGCACTGGAGGAGGGGAGGGAATGGGAGAGGGACCTGGAACTGACTTGTGAAGCAACCTCGTTTCTTATCTAAATTTAAACTGGAAAATAAAATAAAAAAATAAAAATAAAAGCTTCTGTAAGGCAAAGGACACAGTCAACAAGACAAAAAGGCAGTCCACAGAATGGGAAAAGATATTCACAAACCCCACATCTGACAGAGGACTGATCTCCAAAATTTACAAAGAACTAAAGAAGCAAGTCTCCTGATTATTTTTTCAGCCTTTCGATTTCCAGCATTACCTCAGTTTGTGATTTTTCTATTGTCTCCATTTCGGTTTTCAGGTCTTGAACTGTTTGAATTGTTTCCTTCATCTGTTTGATTGTTTTTTCTTGGCTTTCCTTGCTTTCTTTAAGAGATTTGTTGCATTTTTTGGTTTGTGTTTTCATCCATTTCTTTAAGGGATTTTCTCATATCCTCTTTGAGGGCCTCTATCACTTTCAGGAGGTTGTTTTGAAGGTCATTCTTTTCTGTTTCATCTGTGTTGGTATGTTCAGGTCTTGCTGGTGTACAGTTTCTAAGACTCCAGTGGTGTCATACTGGTTCTTCTGTTGTTGGCTGTGTTTTTATATTGCCTTCTTCCCATCCCTTCTTTCAGTGGGAGCACATGGGGTCTCTTCCTCTCCTGGTGGGTTTGTGTTCAAGCAGGTCCAATACTCTAATGGGTGCAGATGGGTCTGAGACACTCTCAAGCACAGTGCTGAGACTCAAGCTCAGGAAGGGCACAGGAGGGGACTGAAGACTCAAACACAGGGTAGGAGCCAGAGGGGGCTGAAGATTCAAGCCCAGGGCAGGGGCTCAAGCACAGGGCAGGGACTGGAGGGCACTGAAGACTGAGGTGTGGCCACATTCAGGGTGGCTCCTTCTGGATGGGGCGGGTCCTCTCTAGGCCTAAATTATTCTTCTATGTTAGTTTCTGTGTGGGCATCAATGGGACTAGGTTTGCCTCAAACCACAAGAGGAAATGAGTGAAGAAACAGCAAGAGATTACCCCATTTATGGAGAGAACTCTAGACCATGGGACCTTTCTGTTTGGAAGAAATTTCGATGGCTGGAGGGCCAGAAGCAGAACAGTTTAGGGTCTTTTGATTTAATTTTGTTGGAGTTTGAAGTCTGTTTATTTAATTTCTAAACATATAGAATGATGGGTAGCTGGGTAACATTGGTCAAGATCTCAGTTTACCTGACTGAGTTTCCATTGTTCTTTTGAAGAAAAGTTGATTTTGTTTTCCTGCTTTTTTTATTGGCTTTTTCTCTCCGTCTCCTTTACTCTTTCCCAAATATCATACACCTTCTCATTTGCTGTAGATTTGTTGTAAGTATAGAATTCACAGTGTCAACGTGTCTTATATATTTTTTGTATCTCTCTTAAGTATTCTATCTGTTTCCAATTTGCATATAGCTTTAGAATCAGATATCCTGTTATAAGGTGTTGGGAATTTTCTTTGGATTGTATTCAGTTCATGTTGCAAATTTACCTTATATGGTATTTTAATATTGATGCATCAAGTTTCCAATAATTATTTCCTTCTTTACTTATGTAGGTTCTTTTATTATTGTTGTTTTTTATCTGAAAGACTTTCAGTGTTTCACCTAAAAAGGACTGTTGGGCTTGGCTGGTGAATCAGTGCATAATTTTCTTTGAGATGACCTGAGTTCAGATCCCAAAACTCACATTTGGAGGCTCATGACTACCTGACTCCCTCATCTCTATATCACATGGAAATCTTCTCGCACACACAAACTGTATACACAAAAATTGGCATAAACTTGTTTGGAAATTCTTGTTACTTATAAAGCAGTGAGAGCAAAACCAGTCACTTTGGGTGCATGATACAAATCATACACTGTTTCTTTTAAAATTTATATAAAAAAGTTAGTTTTCAGTTTACATACCAACCCCAGTTCCCCTCACTCCCCATAACCTGCTCCTTACTCTCTCCCTTCCCATCCCCAATCCCCTCCTGAGAGGGGATAAGGACTTCTGTCTGGAGTCAACAAAGTCTGGCATACCAAGTTGAGGAAGGACTAAGCTACTCCATCATGTATCAAGACTGAGCAAGTTATCCCATCATAGGAAGTGGGCTCCAAAAAGCCAGTTCATGCTCCAGGGATGGGTCCTTGTTTCACTAAGAGGAGTCCCCTAACAGATCAAGTCACATAACTGTCACCCACATTCAGAGGGTCAAGTTTGGTGCCATGAAGGTTACCCAGCTGTCAGTACATAGTCTGTGAGCTCCCACTTGTGACAGTAGTAGGAGGTATGACTTTATTGGACTGGTCTTTTCCTTGTTAGAAGAAGTATGTCACTGTGGGGTCAGGTGTTGAGGTTTCTTATACTCAGGATGTGGCCCAGTGTGTCAGTCAACTTCCTGTTGACTCTGAGTCAAGATGTAAGGACTTAAACCTTTAGTACCACATTAGCTAAATGCTGCCATGCCCCCTGCCATGATGATGATTAACTGTACCTCTGAAATTTTAATGGAGACACCAAAATTAAATGTTTTTTTTCTAAGAGTTGTCATGGTTTGTGGTGTCTTCACAGCAATAATAACATAACAAAGTCAGAAGATGGTTCCAGTGATTGGGGTATTGCTGTGATAGGCTGGCCCAATCATACAACTAACTTCTCTGATGTGTTCTCAGTAGTACTGATCTGATTTATTACCTCCCCCTTTATGTCTATTCATTGGGATATCTTTTTCAAGGCTATATGCTATTTAAAGGGCCAAGTAATGATGCATGTGAACCTCCTATTCAGTTTCCTTTTAAAGTGACTGGATAAATACATTACAATGTCCATGTCATGTAATAAGTGTGGGAAGCACCAGAATTATATGAATATATTGTCAAAGAAGTATATATATACAATTTGAGTATCACACATCCTGATTTACATGTGTATGGGATATTTTAGAACACAGTGACTTATGATGATGTACACATCAACTTCACTCAGGAAGAGTGGGTTTTGCTAAATCCTTCCCAGAAAAGTCTCTACAAAGATGTGATGCTGGATACCTACAGGAACCTCTTTGCCATAGGTAAGGCAGAATTTTCCTTCATGATTTAAAATAAGAGGACAACCATTTCTTGGTTATTGATATCCTTCTGTAATTTTGATTGAGAAAAGGGAAATTAGGTGAATAAGACATAGTTCTAATGTTCATTAAAGATATTAACTTAAATTTGATTCAATTTCCATTCATATATCACGTATTTGCTGGTATTTTATTTTAGGCTACAGGTGGGAAGACCATAATATTGAAGAACATTGTCAAAGTTCTAGAAGACATAGAAGGTAATTTTCATGTACAATTTATCCAAATTTGCATCTGCAGAAATTTTAATGTGTCCTGGAAGATTTAAAGAAAAGCAACAGTGTGAATAAGCACAGCTTAAAGTGTATTGTGATTCTTAATTTCTCACATGCCTGTGAAAAAGAAGATAAGGAAACAATTCTCTAACAGATACCACCATTTGAATTATAGCCCAATGAGTGTTATGCTATATAAATGCCAATCTGATTAGTTTTATGCCACTCAGATATTTTAAACAGTATACATGTTGGGTAGATGATAAGTATATGTCCAAGTCCTTCTTAAAAAAGAGTATATAGTAAAGCTGATGTTACTCATATGTTTGTGACTTTGCTATAGAAAGGGTCAGTTTATGAGATACAAGAAGATTGTTGTGGAGAAACCTTAATCCCTATACCACATGTCTGTGTGTGAGGAAAAGAAATTCAAACTGTGTGAATCCAATGTGGTTTTTTGTTGTTGTTGTTGTTGTTGTTATCCTTTTATTTGTTATCCTTCCTTTATTAAGAATAGCATGTAGAACTGGGCAGTGGTGGTGCATACTTTTTTAATTTCAGCACACAGTAGGCAGAGGCAGGTGGATGTCTGTGAGTTGGAGGCCAGCCTTGTCTAAAGAGTGAGTTCCAAGACAGGATCCAAAGCTACACAGCCAAACCTGTCTCAAAAAACAAAGAAAAAAGAATGTTATATGTCACTATAAATACAAGCCATGTGAGCATAGAATATGGAAATAAGCAATATCCCTCCCCCCTCTCTCTGTCTCTCTCTCTTGGGACAATTAGAAGACATGAATGATATTTAGTAGTCCCCACTTTGAGGAGATTTATTGAACTCATGTAAGTTTAAAATTAATGGGTTTTCCAACTTCTTTGGAAAAATACCAACAAATTCACACTGCTGAAAAGTCCTATGAGTACTGGAATTTGTGAATACTTCCATTTATCCTAGTACATTCTGCCAATGTAGTATGACTCACACTATAGGAATACTCATGAATTCAATAAGTATGTCAAAGCTCTGAGGTCCTCCAGTTCTCTTCAAATATGTGAGAAATATCACATAAAAAGGATGCCATAATTGTGGGCCATGAAATAAATGCTCTTACTATCATAGGTTTCTTCAAAGCCACAAAACAACCCCTCATGAAGGGAAGCATCATGAATATAAAACTTAAGATCTGATTTCTCTTTACATTTAAACCAAATTATAAAATTAATTTACACAGATACTACATATCATTACTATAATACATGTGGTAAAACTTTTACAAGTGTCAATTATTGTTGCAGGAATGAAAGAAGCCATACAGGAGAGAAACCCTGTGAATATACTCAATGTCTTAAAACCTTTATGTGTTGCAGACATCTTCAATGGCATGAAAAAATTCATAATGGAGAGAAACCATATGAAAATCTTCAATATGATGAAGTCTTTGCATGTCACAGTTGTCTCCGACTCCATAAAAGAACACATACTGGAGAGAAACCCTATGAATGTAATCAATGTGGTAAAGCATTTTCACAACACTGTAAACTCCAAATACATAAAAGAACACATACTGGAGAGAAACCCTATGAATGTAATCAATGTGGTAAAGCATTTTCACGACACTGTAAACTCCAAATACATAAAAGAACACATACTGGAGAGAAACCCTATGTATGCAATCAATGTGGTAAAGCCTTTGCACATAACTGTCATCTTCAAGTACATAAAAGAACACATACTGGAGAGAAACCCTATGTATGCAATCAATGTGGTAAAACATTTTCACAGCATAGTAATTTAAGAGCACATCAAAGAACACATACTGGAGAGAGACCCTATGAGTGTAATCACTGTGATAAAGCTTTTTCAAGTCATGGTGAACTTAAAAGACATATAAGAACACATACTGGAGAGAAACCTTATGAATGTAATCAATGTGGTAGAGCATTTTCACAACACTGTAAACTCCAAATACATAAAAGAACACATACTGGAGAGAAACCCTATGTGTGTAATCAGTGTGGTAATGCCTTTTCACATGCTAGTAGTCTCCAAACACATAAAAGAACTCATACTGGAGAGAGACCCTATGAATGTAATCAATGTGGTAAAGCTTTTTCACAACAAGGCAGTCTTTTAAAGCATAAAAGAATGCATTCTGGAAAGAGATCCTATTAATGTAATCAATGTGGTAAAGCCTTTGCACATACCAGTACCCTCTTAAATCATAACACATTCATACTTGAGAGAGACCCTTTGAATGTAACCAATGTTGTAAAGCCTTTGTATGTATTGTCAGTCTTTAAAACCATGAAAAAAAATCATACTGCAGAGAAACCCTATAAATGTAAGAATTGTGGTAAAGTTGTGCACTTTGCATACCACAATAATCTTTTTTTTTTAGATTTTTATTTTTTTTATTTAAACAATATTCTGCCTACATGCCAAAAGAGGGCACCATATCTCATTATAGATGGCTGTAAGCTACCACATGGTTGCTAGGAATTGAACTCAGTATCTCTGGAAGAGCAACTGGAACTCTTAACCTCTGAGCTGTCTCTCCAGTTGGCATATCACAATAATCTTTGAGGGCATGAGAAAGTTCATACTGAAGGGAATCTTACTATAAAGGATTTGGTGACACCTTTAGCAAACATACATTTAGTTACACAAAATTCTGGATCAACAATCTGTTCAAGCATTATGATGTCTCTATTTTGTTTGCACCTGCAAACTCATATGGACAAAAGTCCTATGAATTCATTAATAAGGTAACCCTTTTTGATTTTACTGTTTTCTTTAATTGCTTAAAAAACCTCATTCAGATCGATTGATTTTTCTAAATCCAATCCTACATGCTTACTTTCTGTTACATGATCCAATTCATGATGAAGGAAAACTGTTAAGACTTAAAATGCCTCAACACCTGGGTTACAGGAATGAATGCTTACAATAGAAAATATTCAAGTGTGGAAATCTGTTTGGCTAGAGATTTGATTGAATTTTAATTATGTGATGTCAGTGTATGGGTTTGTGACTGCTCATGCTTCCCAAGAAGGTTAGACCCTTGAGTATTCCTGTAGCAGGAACTACAGAAAGTTCTCAAAAACCTCACCTAGGTCCTGGCAATGAACTTGTCATAATTTTGCTTACCCATGTCTCTAACTCTGTACATATTTTAAATCCTTTTTGTATCATCTTGATAATAGATAATAGAGAAGAACTTATGGAAGAGAAAACCCAATTCATGTAAACAATTTGGTAAAGACTTCATACTTGTCTTTAATTTCAATAAAAAATAGTTTTCTATGAAGGCTGGTCTCTGTGTCATCAATCCCGACATCCTATGTATGCAATCAATGTGGTAAAGCCTTTGCACATAACTGTCATCTTCAAGTACATAAAAGAACACATACTGGAGAGAAACCCTACAACTGCAATCAATGTGGTAAAACATTTTCACAGCACAGTAATTTAAGAGTACATCAAAGAACACATACTGGAGAGAGACCCTGTGAGTGTAATCATTGTGATAAAGCTTTTTCAAGTCATGGTGAGCTTAAAAGACATATAAGAACACATACTGGAGAGAAACCCTATGAATGTAATCAATGTGGTAAAGCATTTTCACAACGCTGAGTGTAGCTCAAATGGAGAAATGATGAGGGACTTACAGGACTTTTTCAACCTTTTGTTTTAATTCAAGGATTGGCTGGAGTTGTTCTGTTAAAGAAGTTTCATTTCAACAAACTAATCATAACCTAGGCAAGAGGAGAGATATGTATGCATGGTCTGTGTGTATAGGTGTGGCCATGCCAGTATGTATGAAATGTGAAGTGTAAATGCATGAATGTTGATAAAAGCAACTGTTCTAATTGCCTTGGATATGATTAAAGGGATACTTAAATCCCTTCAAAAATAGTTAAAAGATACCTAAATCGCTTTAGATATAGCCAAAAGGAACATCCAGTCAGTCGGTTAATGTCTTAACAGAAAAGTTAAAAGATTTAAGCCTTCAGAGCCAGTCGATTAAAAAAAAGTCTTCTCAGGGAACTGCCCTGCCACTTTGACAGGCCCCACTCCCAAAGGTGTCTGTGTAGATGCAAATTAGGCCTTGTCAGCTAGTGAGAGCTACTGGTTAGATTAAAAAAGACTACTCACAGACTTCAAATAATTTTCAAAAATTATTTGGGACTAGTATAGTTTACAATCCTTAATGAGTCTCAAAAGGTTTTTTTTAAATACTTAATGGTTGTGTCCCTTTTAAAGGACATCCACTAATAATTTAGATAGTGACCCCCAATTCACCTAGATCGTTAACTAAGGAGGGTAGACAAATCCTTCTACTATTATGGTCCAACATCAACAGTTCAAACAAAATTTGAAAAATAAAAAAGGGGGAGTAGTGTCCCCAGTCCCCACATGATTCATTGAATAATCCACTCCTCATTTTTAAAATGTGAATGCCAGTGAGCAATCTGCTTCAGACAGATTCTGGCATGATGGAACTTGAGCAACTTTTGCTCAGGTCAAATGGAGACATCCATACACTAGACAGTGAGGAAGACCCTAATTTGGGGTCAAGGGCATGTTTGTGTTTTCTTGCAGGAAAAGAATAAAACTTCCATAGCTGTCAGAACATTTGGTGAGATACATGGCGCAGAGAAAAACTGGACCTGAAACCATGGGAGCCTGCCCAAGCCAGTTCGAGATCTCCTAAATCAGTGTTCCTGACCCTTGATGTCATCAAATCCACAACCCAAGAAAGAAATAAAACAGTCAAGATCTCCAGTTTCTCAATAGGCCTGCTACATCAACCTCCTGGACCCGTGAGTTTTATCCTGAAGCCAACAAAGAACTGAAAGATCAGCAGTTTGCCCTTGACACACCTTAAAACAACGAAATTCATCTTGCCAGTTTTTCCTTTTGGGGGAAAAAATGACCCATTTAAAACATTTGGACACTGGTATAGACCATGATGAGTGGCAAAAGCCCCTTTTCAGTATTTAAACAGGATACAGCCACATGAAATGTCAGCCTTGGCGGTTCCTGTTTCTGGAATTGCGTCTATGCCAGTGTTTTTCTGGAGAAATGCAACTTGTCCTAATACGACAAAAAGGAGACTTTGGCTCAACCCGCATATTCAGATGAGGCTACTGACATTAAATCAACAAACTACATCATTACAGGAAAAAATTGATACTCTATGGATAGTACAAGCCTCTTGTTCATATTTTATCATACTATGCATGTGTAACATCAATGAGTATTCCTAATGTATCTGTACAAGTGTGCCTTCTAAATGCTTTCTTAAGTGGATCTTAAAATGATTGTAAACTTTATCACTGTTTTGACCATCAAATTGTAACTGTAAATCACCCTTGTAACAGAGAAAGGCTGGTGGTAAAATGCTATGGCACAGATCGGGGGATGGGTAGGCGACAGAGAGGCACTATGTCAATGGGGGTCCTGGGAATGGTGACAGTGGCAGTAGGCATTCTGGCTTCATGCTGAGTTCAAACGTATCTTGTTCCTTAGACAACAGGTACGTCACCAAGTGTTACTCAGCTTAGCTCATGGAAATCCCGGTAGCCATAAAGTCTGGTTACAGATGATTCTAAGATGAGGTTCTCTGAGGACGGACAACCTGTGGGGTAGAGACCTCCCACCTAAGACAGGGGTTGCCAGGTCCCCCTAACCCTAACCCTAACCCTAATTCCTGCTAACAATCTAAGCAATAGTGGACAGGCTACCTTAAATGCACTTCCCTGATAATGAGATTGCAGACACCCACAGCCAAGCACTGAACGGAACTCCTGGAACCCAGTTGCAGAGAGGGTAGAGTGATAAGCAAAGGGGTAAAGACTAGGCTGGTGAAACTCAGAAAAGGCTTACCTGAGCAAGTAGGAGCTCATGGACCCTAATCTGACAACTGGGGAACCAGCATCGGACTGACCCAGGCCCCTGAACATGGGTGTCAGTAAGGAGCACTGAACATTGGGCCTCAGGCAGTGGAACCAGTATTTATCCCTAGTGTACGAATGAACTTTGGAAGCCCATTCCCTATGGAGGGATACTCTCTCAGCCTACATACATGGGGGAGGACCTAGACCCTACCTAAAATGATTTGGCAGATTTTGATGATCCCTCATGGAAGGCCTCACTTCCCTGGGGATTGGGTGAGGGGTGGGCTGGAGGATTGGTGAAAGGAAGGAGATGGAAATAGGATATGTAAAATAAGATTGCTTCTAATTTAAATAAAATTTATTTTTAAAAAAAAGAATAGGAAAGATCAGGTGGTAAATACCTTAGCTAACAATTGCTGGTGCCAAAGCTCTGAAGTACTGGAGCTTCAAGGAAGATTATGGACACTGTACTGAGCCAGTCACAGTCTCTCTTTGTTCTATGGTTCTCCCAGAGAGACCCCCCAAACTCCAAGGAACCACTGACACCCGAATGCAGGAACAAAAAGGCTTTTAATTCTAAGCCAACTGGTTGGGACCTTGTTCTATCGGGAGAGCAAGGCCCCAACTTACAGTTACAATGTGTTTTTAAAAGGAAGAAAGGGAGCCGGGCGTTGGTGGCGCATGCCTTTAATCCCAGCACTCGGGACCCAGAGGCAGGCGGATCTCTGTAAATTCGAGACCAGCCTGGATTACCAAGCGAGTTCCAGGACGGCCTCCAAAGCCACAGAGAAACCCTGTCTCAGAAAAAAAAAAAAAAAAAAAAAAAAAAGGAAGAAAGGGGAGGGAGATTGTGAGACCAAAAGTCTCAGTTCTCAAGTTTCCCTTGGATACAGAGATTACTTAGTTTCATGATACAAGGTTATGAAACAAAGGGCCTTGAGTGAAGAAGGCAGTAACTGTCATCCTGTTAGGTGAGATTAATTGACACATCCATTGGGCCAGGGGCTTAGCACATCCTATGATCTAAAAGTTTTATGACTAGTAGGGCAAGAGGCCATCTAGCTCCAGTTTTCAAAAGGCAAGGGAGTAGGGCCAGATATTGACACAGCTGCTTATGAGTTCGAGCTTCTGGTCACAACCTCTGTTGTTGAGGACCAGGTCACTGGAAATCTCTATTTCTAGCCCTAAGGCACTTCCCAAAACTCAGGCACCTTCCCACAGATGGCCTGGAGCCATAGAGATAACCCATCTCTTAACAATGCTTCATTAACACCTGCACTCCCTGGTGAGATCCCCTACCCATTGCATATCATATCAAATGCTCCCTGCTCCTAACAGCCCCCAGCCTCACTTCTCTCTGGCTAACAACCTCTGCCCCATAGCCAATGCCACATTCCCCTATTTAAGCCTGTACAGAATTCTCATTGAATGCAGCTTGAACAGCCATGTTGCCCTGAAATCCCTACCTCCACTTTCTAAGTACCATGATAACAGGCCTCTGCCACCATGCCTGGCTTTGGTGGCTTCAACTTCACTTAGTGAGGCATTAGAATGATGGGATGAATAACACAAGGAATTGCACTTAAATATATTCAAAATCTACTTATCTTCCTGGGTTTCACCATCTGCAGAATAAGGCAGAACTCTTCCCAGGTCCTTTCATGTGTTAAAACAGACTCAATGATAAGGAAAAATAATATTTCTCATAGTTGGAAGACAGTGGACTTTAAGGCAGAAGGGCTGCATTTGATGGTTACCTTCTTCTGTTACTGAACTTAACACCAGAGCCTGTGTCCTGACTACTGTAACCAGTCAGGCTCAGTCACTCATCCTCAGTAAGTCAATTAAAAGAATCAACTCATCTAGTGGCATGCCCAACTATAATGCAGGCACTCTAGAGTCAAGATGGACAGATCACTTTGATTACCAAGGAAAGTCTAGTCTATTGTGTGAGTTTTAGGTCAGACATGGAGTCACAGTAATAAAAAAGAAAAGATAAAAAGTACTAAAGGGAAAATGACAAAATTAATAAAAATTTAAATCATATTTATTTATTCAGTTTGACTAATTTGGAAATATACAGTAAATAATCCATCCTTAGGGTCCAAACAGGCTTAGATAGGAGGCAAATATATGCAAAACTAAATAATCTAATGAAGCCAAATAATGAATTTTCACCATCTCTAAAACACTCCCACATTCTCAGTTCTTGTTTATCCTGTAAGGTGTTCAGATAAGAAGTAAATGTTTCTTCAATAGAGACATTCTTATTTGGAAGATTCAAGTCTTTTCCCACAATGAGATTCTCATGGAAATTAGAATTTTATGGGTCTAATGTTTCACTAGTTGCATGCCAAAAGTAGACCCATGAAGATGACTTCTGGTCTCCACATAAGCTGTCATCGTC